TTTGGAATTTATTTGATATTTTTAAACAGGGTTTTAAAATCAGCAAAACAGTTTTTGAATATGTCAGATTTCGGTCGACCGCACCGGTCGACCGATCCTGAATTCATGTGTTCACTGGGCGACAGAGAGTCTGTCGGTCGACCGGTCCGGTCGACCGAAAAACTCCATCGGTCGACCGCACCGGTCGACCGACGATGTCTCTGTTTGTTTCTTCATTTTTCAAACCTGCTCACGGTCGACCGGATTTTCCGTCGGTCGACCGAATTCCTTCTTTCGGTCGACCGAACGTTCTGTCGGTCGACCACCAATAGAGCCGTTGGTTCTAACGGCTATTTCTGAGCTGGTTTTTCTGGGGCTTTTTGGACTTTTGCTTGGGGTTTTGGCTGAGTTTTGGAGTGGGTATAAATACCCCATTGCTGTCATCTTTCAACTCACCGAGAGAATGTTTTAAAATAGTTTAACAAGGGTTTAAACTTGTTTAGTGTTTGTTTAAGTTTGTTTTAAGAAGCTTTTAAGCATTTGAGTGTTTCGGTTTTTGTGATTCAATTCAACAAGAGCTTGAGGAGATCATCTATTGGTGTTTGGGCATCCAACTCTTCTCCCTCCACTCTTGATATATTGAGAAGTTTTCTAAACTCTATTTCTAGCTCTTTTATATATTTGATTATCATTGTTATTAAGCTAGAACTACATTGAGTTTAGTTTTGATTTATATCTCTTTGTTCACACACAACCTTTTGAGCTTATTGTATTTACATTCATAGTATAATTTGGGGTTGTGGGTTTGTGACTAAGAGTTGTACTTAATTGAGTTCTCACCTTGTTTAGAGAACAATCAATTGATTTATATTGTGCTTAATTGTGAGGATTCACTTGTAATACACTTGTACACCGAGAGAAGTGTGTGGTGAGAGACGGGGTCGAATCCAAGAGGAGTGGCGTCGGTTGACGTGCCCAGGGAGAGGTTGTAACCGAGCACTTGAGGAGGAGGACACGGGCTAGGACCAACACTTAGTGTGTGAGGTGTGATTACATAGTGATTGTATTGTGAGGTGTAAACGTTGTTCGGGTGAACGTAGAAAACCCGGTTGTGATAGTGGAGATCTCCTCGAGGTGAGGAGCGGGGACGTAGGTCGTGGGGACCGAACCTCGTAAACATATCGTTTTGTTTGTTCAAATGCATTACATCCTCTGAGCAATGTATGACATGTAAGATAAAATCAAGGGATGATAAAATTTCATGTGTAATTTTTGTTGTTTATGCTTTTAATGATATGGAAGGCAGGAAAGCTCTATGGATAGATCTGTTATTTTTCAAGCAAAGTGTTAATTACCCCTGGATTATTGGTGGAGATTTTAATGCCATTATCAGTACTGAGGAGAAATTAGGGGATGCTCTTGTTAATGATTCAGAAACTAAAGATTTTCAAAAATTTATATCAACATGTCAACTGCTGCACCTAAAATCTATTGGATGCTATTTTACCTGGAATAATAAGCAGGATGCTATCTCAAGAATCTGGATTAGGCTTGACAGAGTTCTAGTGAATGAAGAATGGATTCAAAATTATAACTCCAGCCAAGTGGATTTCCTAACTCCTATTTGTTCTGATCGCTCTCCTGCACTCTTAACAATAGGAGATGAGGTTATTGAAGGGAAAAGACCTTTCAGATTTTTCAATATGTAGGTAAATAACCCTGAGTTCATCCCAGTTGTTAGAAATGTTTGGGAACAAAATATCAGAGGATTCTATATGTATAAGCTTCATGCCAAACTCAAGAATCTTAAGCAGGCTTTGAAAGAATTAAACAAAAAGCACTTCATGCACATAAGTAAGCAAGTGTCTAGAGCTAAAAGTGAGCTTTCTGATATCCAAAATCATTTGAATAATGATCTCTTCAATCAAGACCTGATAAGGAAAGAAAAGGAATGCTTAGACAAATATACCAAACTTTTGGACCGTGAAACTTGATTTTACAGACAAAAGGCTAACATCAAATGGGGTCTTTATGGTGACAAATGTTCAAAAATTTTTCACTCCATTATGAAGGCCAAAAGGAACCAGAACAGAGTGTTATCACTTTATGCTGAGAATGGTGATTGGATTACTGATTTTTTTGATATAATTGTAGAGTTCACTAGTTATTATGAAAACATTCTTGGTATTGCTACTCCTACTATCACTCTTGATCGTAGGGTGATATCTAATGGGCATGTTTTATCTCAAGCTCAAGGCAACACACTGAGCTCTCCAGTTTCTAGAACAGAAATAAGGCAAGCAGTTTTCTCTATGCCAAATGACAAAGCCCCTGGACCTGATGGGTACAATGCATTCTTCTTCAAAGCTGCATGGAAAGCGATTGATGAGGATGTCTATCTTGCTATAGAGGAATTCTTCAATTCTGGTAATCTGCTTGGCACTTATAATTCAACATCTATTATCCTTGTGCCAAAAATTCTCAATCCTAAGTCCCCTTCTGACTGTAGACCAATCTCATGTTGTAACTATGTTTACAAAATCATCTCAAAAATTATTGCTAACAGAGTTCAAAAGGTAATGAGGTATTTGATAAATGATGGACAAAGTGTATTTATCAAAGGAAGGTCTATATCAAGTAACATTCTTTTAGGCCATGAGCTTATAAAGCAGTATGGTAGGAAGCTTACTTCTCCTAGAGCTACTCTCAACATAGACCTACGTAAAGCTTTTGACACCATAAGTTGGGACTTCATCAAATCCATGATATTTGGATTATGCTTTCCTAAAAAGTTGATTTTGTGGATTATGGAATATATCTCCACACCTAAATTCTCCATCTCTCTAAATGGTGCTCTTCATGGATACTTTAAGGGGGCTAGAGGTTTAAGACAAGGAGATCCCCTTTCACCTTATCTCTTTATGCTTGGAATGGAATACCTATCAAGAAAACTAAACACACTCACAACTGATAGGTTGTTCAGATTTCATCCTAAGTGCACCAGATTAATAATCACACATCTATTCTTTGTTGATGACTTTCTTTTATTTACATGAGCTGACATGTATTCAAAAGCAAAACTCCATGATTGCCTTCAGGAATTCAGTAGGGTCTCTGGATTGGAAATTAACCCCAACAAGTGTTTTGTTTATATTAGTGGCACTGAAGAAAATGTGAAGCATCAGATTTGTAATTTTCTGAATTTCTCTGAAGGGGTATTACCAGTCAGATATCTAAGTATGCCTCTAATCTCAAAAAGATTGACGTGCCTAGACTGCTCCTCTTTGATCAGGAAAATAACAGATCAGTTCGATAACTGGAAAAAGGGAAATAATTTATCGTATGCTGGTAGGTTACAACTCATTAAATCAGTCATCCTTGGAGTGCAAATATTCTAGACTAGCAACTACATTCTACCTATGAAAATTCTGGAAATAATTGATAGCTTATGCTCTGATTTTCTTTGGAACCGTAATGTGCATTTGGTATCTTGGGAGATGATCTGCAAGGATAAAAAGCAGCGTGGTCTTGGAATTTTTTCAGCAAAATTCTAGAATTTGGCAGCTGCAGCTAAGCTTATTTGGATGATTCATTTTAAGAAGGATATTTTTTGGATTAAATAGGTTCATGGCAACTATTTACAACACTACAACATTTGGCAAGTTCAATCAAGGGTGAATAATTTTTGGATGTGGAAACAACTTCTAAGAGTGAGAGACAAGCTAATTGGAAAATTTGGAAGTGTGATCAACCTCCAAAATGCTATTAGTAACTGCTGCTCTGGAGATAAAGTTTAAATCTCTTCTATATATAAAGAGTTGGTTCATCAATCTCCTCAAGTGCCTTGGTCAAATACTGTTTGGGGTGGCTAGCACTATCCTAAACATTCCTTCATATTATGCTTAGCCATATATTCAAGTCTGTTAACCAAAGACAGATTATGTCGCATGACAATTCTAGATACAAATGCTTGTTTTCTATGTTGTAATCACCAAGAAGAAACCAGTTTCCATCTTATCTTCGAATGTCAGTACTCTGATGTGGTGTGGAATAAAGTTATGTAATGGCTGAAATTCAGTTAGAGGTCATGCAGTTGGGAGCATGTCGTTAGCTGGTATAGTTCAAGACTAAACGGTGTTGGTTATATGAAGAAATTGAAGAGGTTGGCTTTATCAGTGACCGTATACATAATATGGAAGGAAAGAAATTTGCGCATTTTCTAGACTAAAGCTAGGCCTCCTGAAGTTCTTATCAGGTGCATAAAGGTTGCCATCTTCTCAAAGATTTTAAATCATAATGTTCCTTGTTGATATGATCTGTTGAACTTCAGACTAAGGTCTGGTTTGCTTTGATATACATATATTTCATATTTTGGGAGATGAATAAAAGTTTAATTCATTGACCAAAAAAACCTATAGTAGGATGTTCGTTGGTTTGTCGTCCAATGACCCACTTAAAATTTATGGGAAAAAAGTAAGTTTTGTTGATAAATCTAGGAGAACTGCGATTTATAAAAATAGAGCTAATATTCAATGGAAGAACTGCAATTTATAAAAACTAAACCTGATATAAAGGTTGAAGGATTCTGAAGTTAGAATCTCGGTAAATTAAATTAAATGGGTTAATCATACTGCTTTCTAAAGAGCATTAGGTTCTGAGTAGGGTTAAGACTGCTTGCATTCAAGTATATGACTACTCCGCTACCTTTACAGTCAGTCATTCTATATTTTTGATAAATGTAGAGAAAATGGATTTGAAGCTTAGTTTTGGATTCCCAGTAGCTAGGCAAAGTATTGGAGCTCTATATGCCTCATTTCCTAATTTATTGATGTAAATCTTTAGTAACTTGTATATTTAAATGATAGAACTGCAACTAAACAATTGTGTTTTAGTTTTTTTTTTTTGGTCAATGAAAAGAGATTTTATTCATTACCAAATGTAGAAATAGGGTACATCATGATACTCAAAATGTGAGATATCCACATTATGATACAGGAACAAAGAACCTATCTATTTACAGGTTACAAAACTTGCTTCAGGAGTTTAAAATCTTCCGAATGATCACTGTTGAGAATAATTGACAGAACATCAATTTTTATGTCTCTGATCAATTGCTCAACACTCTTACTGATTTGGCCAAAAATCCTTGCATTTCTTTCTCTCCATACACTATAAACAGTCGCTGCCAATACCATCCTCTTCACCTTATGCTTAAGTCCATTTCCCTTCAACCTGGTGTTATACCAGTTTAAAAGTATACACCAGTCACAAGACCTCCATTTAAAATGAATCCAATCCATAATTCCATTCCAAACATCTCTTGAAAAGCTGCAATCGAAGAATAAATGATTCCTACATTCAAGAACTGCATCAGAGCATAATTTGCATTGATTGATATTGATAATCCCCCTTTTCAGAAGTTTATCTTGAGTGAGAAGTCTATCATGAGCAGCTAACCAAAGAATAAAAGCATGTTTTGGAAAGCTCAGACATTCCCAAACTGTATCACGCCATAGAACCTTATCTGTTGCTGGATACAGGGCATAATATAGGGCTGATAGCTTCAGATTTGAATTAGTATGACAGGAACTAATCAGCTGCTTCATGTTTGATAAAACTTGAATGTTATTTTATTGCTATATTGGTGTCTTATTAGTTGGCCTGAAGGTCCTCAACATGCTTAACTCTTGCTTTTTTTTTAATCAAGGGCCTCTATATTTAAAGTCATTTTGACTTTTTTTGGATTTACAGACAACTGTCAGCGAGTTGCAAGAGGAGATTCAAGCTAGAAGTAAGCAATTCATGTTTTCATGTCAATATTTTGCATAGTTTATGGTCTTCACGTTAAACTTCTAGACCTCTCATAAAATCTTGTTTTTATAATTTGATCAATTTTAAGTCTTGTGGAATATGTATCAATATGTGTCACAAGTTTGAGAATTTCTTGACAAGAACCCAAAGAATTTAATAATGAATGCATCATCTAATTTCTGGCCCTAACATGACAAGAACCCAAAGAATTTCTTAACAAACAGCTTCGAGAATATATCCAACTAATTGTTAACCATGAATTTATAACTAGGTTCCTTACATTGTACGCCTATATTCACATCTAGAATCATTAGTTTTTTTGAATCTTTCTAATTGCTTACTACAAGATGTAATACTAACTTGCAAGATTTCTTCATAGATCTGATAGGAACACCCTAGTTTTAATCATATTCTGATTCTGATGATATTCCGGTTTCTGAAGGAAACGCATGTTAGTATGATGAATATGCGGAACAAAGTCTTATCTTTCAACTATTCATGTATTTATGACTTGGTTATTTGAGGCTTGGTTGGGATCAGTAGCTTAGCAATTACCTAGTCAGTCAATTGAAGTCTCTCTTTGATTCCTTACCAATTCTGTCTGAAAATTGAACCCTACAGTTTCACATCCTAAATTATGTAGAATTCTAACAGTTTAAGGCATCATGTTGCATTAGATTCTTCATCGGTAATTGGTTGCATATTTTTTTTTAAATTCTAAAGATTAGTAGAAGCCGCATTGTAGAAGGAACCTTGATTACTCGAAACAAGACAATTGTTTGTTAGTTATATTAACTTTTTTTTCTTTTTCTTGAGGAAGACTGAATAAAATTTTGAAAACATAACTTATTACATTCAATAGTATGCACTATATATATACATCATGGCTTCTCTGTTCTGTTAGAGGATTGTTAGAAATTACACATTTTCAAGCTTCATAGTTCTTTAAACTAGGTCATACAGTTTCAGATCTCTATCAACCCTAGACTACTACTTTTAGTCGTAGTAATAACAATTTGTGGTGTTCCCTCTTGACTTTATGAATTTGGATAGCAATTCAAAAGAGGCTTCACATTTATTTATTTATTCTGCAGTTCAAAAGCAATTTAAATTTTTTGTAATTTGCAATCGACTTTGACCAGTCTATATGCATCAATTCTATTTGGATAGCTGATGTGAGTAACGTAATATGTCCTTACTCACTGATAGGGCTATAGATAACAAACTTTCCCCATCATAACTTCTATTAATTCAGTAACTACAGAAACTTCCATTTACCATCAAATATTACAGGCAAGATATCTACAGGTACCAACCAAATATAAGCAAGATACCTCAAGACTAATAACGGGAAATACTGAGCAGTAAGCACTTTGATTTGTTTACATCTCAAGTCCCACCAGAGAAACCAATTTCCTACACACATTACACACATGACAAAAGGATTCCTGGTAGCATTTGTAATGGCACCAGAACTTGAAAAGCTGGGCTCATTGTTGTAAGCTTCATTTGTTGAACCTCCTGGACTTCCTTTATTTTCCTGTCCTGGGGCTTGAACTCTTTTGAAGCTGTTCAGTCATCTTTACTGTAAAGTTCCATTAGAGCATCGTAACTCATAGTCTCAACTTGCGAGCCGTAGTAATCAATGAGCTTTGTATACAGTGAAGCACAACCTGCTTTTGATACCAATTTGATGCAAACAGGTGCTTAATGGAGAATATTAGTAAGAATGTGATTCCTAGCAATCTAAATAGAACATGATTTCTTTTATGTTGCAAGTCTTCACGGTCTTTAAGAATGGAGCTAATTTGGTCTTCTTGTTATTGTTTCAGGTGATTCAAGAACTTGCAAAGTAAGACTTTCTGAACCAAGGGGAGAAAACTACAAAAGAAACACAAAGTGAAAATGTATAAGCATTAAAAAGAAACTGAATCAGATGTAAAAGTCTTAAACAAACTAGTGCCAGAGCAACTTAAGCATGACGCTATGTAACAACAAAATATTAACTTTTATGGGTTTGTATTTGTTGGATATTTTGGATCTCTAGTTTGTTGAATTGTTATATGCAATATTTGAAGTTTCTAGGTTTGTATTTGTTGGATATTTTGGATCTCTAGTTTGTTGAATTGTTATATGCAATATTTGAAGTTTCTACTTTATTTATTGTTTTTCTAGTTTGTTGAATTGTTATATGCAATATTTGAAGTTTCTACTTTATTTATTGTTTTGGTTAGTGGTGAATGAGTTTACAAAGTTTTATTGATGAATGATTTCGGTTATTTTTATGGTGATTATTAGGTAAACTATTGACATTACTACATTTGATATTTTAAGGTATTTTATCTATGTGCCAAGTTGGTTGGATAAGTGATATACTATTTGAGGCATTTATTTCCACCAATGTCCATGCAAACCTTATGTAATTTGAGTATATAATTTCTAAATTATCTTCGAGATACAATTTTAGTTTAGAAATAAGAATTGTACTAGTTGGCAAACAACTCAATTGAAATTTTTAAAATTAAAATTCTAAAGTTTGTCAAACATGAATTTTAAATTAAATTCTGGAATTCAAATTTGGATGTTTCCCAAACGAAGGAATTGAATTTTAAATTCTGGATTTCAAATTTCAGATTCCATTCTAGAATTTAAAATCAAATTCTCAAATCCAAATGCAACCTAAATGCGTTTTATAACCGGATTTAGCTTGTTGTAATTGTTGATCAAAAGCAACATAGATGTGTTGATTTTGTCTCATCAACTCGTCACTTTTCTTGAAAGCTATATTATAAGCACTACTACGTACCAGTATGAATTTCCAACCAATCTTTTTTATTCAAATATGTAAATCCTTCAGAAATAAAAGAATCTTCACTAGATTGATACATATGATAGGCTTAAATAAATAACAATGTAAGCAAAACGCCACATTCTTGTCTGTACTATATTCTAACCAATGATACGTTTCAAACCAAGAAGGATTAAACCTATGCCTTTTTCCATAATATTCTTTAAAACAATAAATAATGGTTTCGAGGTTGAAAAGGCCCTTTTAAAATACATGATCACGACACTTCATCTTGGATTCGGATGAAAGCCTGAAAATTTTGCTCGCGGTCTCGGATCTACTTGTGAAGGTCCTAGATCAAAATCACGTTCTTGTTGGAAGGCTGGGTGTATTGTTGCTTATTGGAGTTAGAACCACCACTACTTGCCTTTAAATTTTTGCCTTGAGTTTGACCCATTTTGAAGTCTAATTCCATCTTATATCTAAACCAGATTATTTGTAATAAACAATTAGTGTCAACGTATAGTTAATGAATTAAAAGAAATAAACTAATGTGCAATTAACATATTTAACTGTTATAATTTATGATTATGAAATAAATTGGGTAAGTAGTGAAATTCTTACCAAATTGAAGCAAAAGGAATTATCGCGAACTTTGGAACGCGAAAGAAATTGAAGTAGTACGCCTCACCTCTCCAAAATCAACAAACTAATAATTTTTTTTTTACAATGGGTTGCACAGCGAAGTTGATGAATTAGGTCATATAGGTTTTATGTGTAACGCTTTTTTTTTAATTATGCCAGGAAAACGCAGACGGCTGCGGGAACTGTTAGTATTTGTTTGTAAAAAAACAAGATAGTCCCACATTGGAATTTTGAACATTCTTTTAGAGGTTTAAAAGCATTGAATGCTTATTTGGCTTTGAATAATGGATCAAAGTGTAGGCTTCTAAACCCGCGTGCGGGTAGCGCGAATAATGCGCGATTATTAGACGCACTTAGCACTTAGCACGCACTTTGCACGCTTGCCGCTGCCGCTTAAATGTTCTATTTTTTATATATATAATTATATATTGAATATATTTTAATGTTATTTCGAATTTTAAAAATTTATGAAAAGACAAGACTGTTGAAAAGTGGCTGTTTAATCCAAGGGGTGTTTTGAAAAGTTGTGACTGTTGGAAGCACATTTTCAAAACTATAAATAGTTTACGTTTTCAGATATCTATCAACAATTCTTTTTCTGAATCTTTTCTATCAAAAACTTCTGTAATATTACAAACTTGTTTCACAACGAATTAAGGAAAATTCCAGATTTGCTTACTGGAATTTTCATTTTCTGTTGTATCCTGGGAAGAAAATTTGCATTAACCCGAAGCAACTTTGAATATCAAGTGGGGGCAAATATTTCTTTAAGGAAAGTGTTTCACGCCTCAGAATTTCTGTCTCCTTCAATATTAAAACTAACAATCTTAAAGAAATATCTCTGCTACAATTATATATATATATATATATATATATATATATATATATTGAATATATATATTTTTTAAAATGTTATTTTAAATTTTAAAAAAAAATTATTAAAAGACAAGTGACTGTTGAAAAGTGGTTGTTTGCTCCAAGGGGTGTTTTTGAAAAGTTGTGACGGTTGGAAGCACCTTTTCAAAACCTATAAATAGTTTATGTTTTCAGATATCTTTTTATAATTCTTTTCTGAATCTTTTCTATCAAAAACTATTGTAATATTACAAATTTGTTTCACAACGAATTAAGAAAAATTCCAGATTTGCTTACTGGAATTTTCATTTTCTGTTGTATCCTGGGAAGAAAATTTGCATTAACTCGAAGCAACTTTGAATATCAAGTGGGAAAAATATTTCTTTAAGGAAAGTGTTTCACGCCTCAGAATTTCTGTCTCCTTCAATTAAAACTAACAGGAACAGAAGGTGCTACCAAAAAGTAGTAATATGTACTTACCCAAAAAAAGAAATAATGTGTTCAATTTACAATATACTCCATTACTTAGCTGTAATTAAATATGATATTAGTTTTATTTTAAGATTTATGTAGTGTTCGATTTACGATATACTCCATCAAGCAACTATATTTACATATTTCATAATAATGGGTGTCACTATTTAATTAAATAATCTCTTATCACAATTGCATAATTTGGATTTGGAATCTCAATTAACAAATTTATCCTTCTAGTGATGTCCTACTCTAATTCTAGCTGTGCTGTACTCTAATTCTAATAATATCCTAAGTACGTAGTCAATTACAAGTGAAATATACAAATATATAAAACTTAGGAAATCCAAGAATATTATGTGACACCACTGAACACTATAAAGCTGTACCATGTCTCAGGCTTATCGGGTAAATGGGCATAGTTCAAAATTGTCACTCTGGATGATTCTAGCCCGACTGCTAGAACCATTAGGGATGTGAATAGTTGCCCTGAGGTTTATAATGAATTGTTGAACGTACGACTGTTTGCACTGGTATCAATTCACGCTTATTTATTTCACATACATAATCTCATTACATTCATTACATTCATGAATCTTATTTGTCATTCTCTGTTCCGTCATGAATCTTATCTAATAATAAACTAGTACCAATTAAACCCATTTTATATCTTTCTTCCGTAATGGTCTTGTACAATTAAGTAGTATTAATTTCTTACGAGCAATTTTATCTCCGAACTCGGGGTTGACGACGAAAATACATTATTAATTCCCGCTTTATTTGACGCGTATACATACAAAAACACTTACGAGTACTTTCACAGCATAACAAGCAAGAAACCAGCGGGAAATTTTAAAAACAAAAACAGAAAAACACAAAGATACACATTATTACGCCATCATCACACCTCAGTTGCATGGCGTTAGCGGCGCCCCACAAAGACACATATGATGCACGTACGAGTACTGCCCAAAACGAGCGGTAACGCTACCAGCCCCAGCCGGTATCTCGCCGCACAGCGGGTTATAACTCGCGTTAAACCTCTCCAACCCTCTAACTTGGTTGATCTGCGCCGGAATCCTCCCATGGATCATGTTATGGCTGAAGTCCAACGCCCTCAAGTTTAACGGGAAGCTTAAGTTGCTAAGGTCGAAGTCGAACCGGTTTCTTGAAATATCAATCCTTGTCGCCCTCTTCTGTGAGCCGAACAAGATGGACGCGTCCCCAGTCAGCCTGTTGCGTGAAATGTCAATAACTCCCCAGTTTGGCTGGCCCAGCGAAGGCCAGATGAGCCCGCTGAGCGCGTTGTGGCAGAGATAGAGGTCAGGTGGCGAGGATTTTGGGAATCTCCCAAAAGTATTCGGGATGTTACCGTAAAGTAAGTTATGTTCGAGGTGGAGTGCCGTGAGGTTTGAGAGATATGGGAGGTCTCCAGGTATAGGACTTGATAATTGGTTGTAGGAGAGGTCGAGGTAAGTGAGGGAAGTGAGTTTCGTAACGAAGAGGGGGATTCGGCCTGAAAGCGAGTTATGGCTCAGGTCGAGTACTGTGAGGTTGGTGAGATTGGCGATGGAGTTGGGGATAGGGCCTACGAGGTTGGGGAGGCGGCGGAGGGTTAGGATTTGGAGGAAAGCGAGGAGGCTGATGGCTGGAGGGATTGTTCCAGTGAGGTTGTCGTCTTGGAAATATGACGAGCGCTGGTAAGCGTGGCGCATCGGACATCGCATGGTTATGACCCCATGCATCAACTGCCAGGCATAGCCGGTTAGTGTTCCATGAAGGCACGGCGGTTCGTGTTGCGGCAGCGACGGATTTTATGGGCGATGAGCGCAACCGATCTGCTTCGTTGCAGCGGTTAGCCGTGGATTGCGCTGAAATTGAGGAGATATGATAGTAGTTAGAGAAGAGGAAGGAGGGGATAGGGTGAACATTGTTGATTATTATTTTTTTTTGATTGTTTTTAATGCCGTAATAAGGGAAGATGAGAGGAGTTGTGTGGGTATATATATATATATATATATATATATATATTATATATATATATATAATATATATTATTATAATATATATATATATATATATATATTGCTTGGAGAGGTTGGAGAGAACACGTGTTGGGGGTTGGGGATGCATGATGTGGTTGTTATCCAAACGAGAGAAAGGTGACGGGAGACGAAGGCACGAGGGAAGCGGAAGGATGACGAGGGAAATGTGGTAGGATTTATTTATAACGTCTTCAATGCTTTTGGCTTTATAGGGTATGGTGGGAAAAAAATGGGAGAGCATGGTGATAAAGATGATATCGGATGTATACATTACTTACTTGGAAACTTGTAGTTGTTGTGATTCCGGACGTTCTCGACTGTGGATAGATAGATGGTAGAGAATTCACTCCTTTAGTTCGTAATTTAAGCTTGTAACCTTTACATACATGCGATCGATGCAAAGCAAACTATTCTCTCCCGTAGCATAATTTGAATATTTCTTTCCTTTACTCACTTCATCACAACCGAGTCACCTCTTCAAATCGAAATCTTTGTTACCAATTATCTGTTGGAGTTATAATAAGTATAACTTAAAACTTGAAATTGTAGTGGGAAAGTTTAGTCCCACATAGGAAATGGAATAGAAATGAATGATGTTTATAAGCCTTTTCTTTCTCTCTTATACCTAGAAGAAAATAAAGGTTATGCTTTGCACCACACGCGCGTGCCGACCGGTTCGGATCGAGTCGGGTGGCGCGTGCGCGCACACGACCTGCAGACACCAATGCAAGCTCCGGATTGATGGGCTCTTGACCTGCTATATTTTGAATTTTTATTTTTTACTAATTGGAATTTATTTTTTACTAATTGGAACAATTAAAACGTGTTAATCAATTAAAACGAGATAAGCAATTAAAACGTGTTAATTATTTGGCTGCGAAAATGAAAACGACTAGCTAAATAAATGGGCGGGATTTGTGGATAACGACTGTTTTTTTCACTATAAAAACCTACACATGCGAGGGCTGAAGACACTGAAAAATAAACGAGCTTCTCTTCTTTTCTTCTCTTCAAAATAAAGTTTTCTTGTTGTTATACGCTGGTTCCCTGAAAGCCGAGAAGAATTCGCAAAGCCTTCTTGAAGCTCGTGCCGACGAGAAGGAGGTCGCTTGACCGAGGGTCATTATATCTCCGAGAACTTTTGCCGCGTAGCCCTGTATGAGAGGAGACAATTAGATTATTGGGACAGTGCCTTGCACGCCTCGACCATCAGACCGTATTTCTAACCTTTTTATATTTTTATATTTTTCGTTACAATCAATTTCATTCCTGTGATAAAATATTAATCTGCTTTTACCTGATATTAATCGTCTGTTCAAAACATAATTTCGTGTTAATTATTGCCTAAACAGTTAATATTTCCAACATTATCGTCCTATAAACCTTTGGAGCCCATAATGTTTAAAAATATGGAATTATTTTTCAGATCCGGATCATGGAGAACCTCTGTCAACATCCTACAGATGTATTGACTTACTACAGGTGTTACTTTACTACAATCATTAAAACATTGATTCTGGAGCCTAACATAGTTGATACTCCTCTTCCAAACATCAAAAGATCATTAATAAATACTAGATGAATGGCTGCGATACATTGAGCGGGCTCTCCGGCGTACGTTAACAGGCGATTTCCTGCTAACTTGCGCCCCCGCTGAGGTTTGAAAAATGGCAAGAAAGAAGAGGAAAAATGAGAAGAAAATCCTGGAAATAGGTTTAAGAGTGTCAAATTCTTCCTTGTCTACGCCTGCGGATCCTATTGAAGCTAGCTTTGATGTTGATGATGAAGGATCTGCTTCAGATCTAATGGGATCAACTGGTCCAAAGGGAGAGCGGAAGAAAGTTTCTATGGCGGATCTCTTAAATTCAGATCCAGGTACTGTTGTTTTCTCTTCTCGAATTGATGATCCTCAATCTCATCGAAAGATGGTTATGTTTTCAAGTTCTCAATCTTTTGTAAGTAATTCTTTGAGGAAATCTTGGGCTGAAGAGGTTGAAGCTGCTGTTCCTCTTTCGCATCAACATCAGAATCTGATTTCTACTAGTAATATAGATAGATCTTTGTGTTCTGCTTCGAATCATGAAGTTCCAGTTCCTGATTCTATCCCTGTGAAAACGAATTTATTTCCTGCAAATAATCTTGATGGATCTTTAAATTCTTCAAGGAATCTTGATAGATCAATAAATTCTGCAAGGAATCTTGATGGATCAATAAATTCTGCAAGGATTCTTGAAGCTGACTCTGTTCTTGATTACATCCCTATTAATGATAGTGTCTTAAATACCAAATCTGCTAAGGTTTCTCTTAATGAGGAAGTATTGAATTCTGCAAATAATATGGGGAATGACTCTGTACCATTAGATGTGACTGGCAATGCAAAAGCTCCTATTAATGAGATTTCTAAATCTTCTGATGTGCCTAAGAGCTGGACCAGTCTTTTTTCAGACAACAGGAAGATAGGAGCTGGGATGAATCTGAGTTTTGTGGCTCCAAACTCTAAAGAAGCTGTAATTTTTGATGAAGAAGAATGGAATGAGGGCAATGCTATTTGGCAGTTCTCTTTAATTGGACAAGTGTTAGGGTTAAATGTTAAATTCAAGGCCATGGAGAACTTTGTGCACAAAATTTGGGCTCGTTGGGTTATCCCTGAGATTTGTATCCTTAAGCCAGGAGTTTTCCTCTTCAAATTCAAGAATCAGATTGAGATGGATGATATTCTTGAGAATGGGCCGTGGTTTTTTGGTTCAAGGCCTTTTTTACTTAAGAAATGGTCAAATGAAGAGGGAATTGACAAAATAAATGACAGCATATATCCTCTATGGATTCAGTTTCCAGGTCTTAGACTAAATCTATGGAACTCCAAAAGCCTAAGTAAAATAGCCAGTTTAATTGGCAGACCTGTTGCAACTGACAAGTTAACTGCTAGTAGGCAAAGATTGGCATATGCAAGGGTGCTTGTTGAAGTTCATCTGCCTTCCACTCTACATGATCACATTGTTATACAAGGTCCTAAGGGTATGATGATTAAACAAAGGGTTATCTATGAGTTCAAACCCAAATGGTGTGAAAACTGCAAGCTAGTGGGTCATGATACTACTATGTGCAGAAAAGTTCAAAAGAAGTGGGTACCAAAGCAAGGTATCAAGCCTGCAGCTGATTCTCAAGCTGTTGATATCTCTGGTCATGCTGTTCAAGCCCAAGTACATCAGGAAGCTTTGAATATAAATTTGGATACTGTGGGGGACAGTTCTGTGCATGTTGTGCACCATAGGCCTGTGGATGTTTTGAAGGAGCAGCATCCTACAGCTGAAAATTTTGCTCCTCCTCAAGCTGTTGATATCTCTGGTCATGCTGTTCAAGCCCAAATTCATCAGGTAGCTTTGAATATAAAAAAGGATACTGTGGGTGAAAATTCTGTGCATGTTGTGCACCATAGGCCTGTGGATGTTTTGAATATGTGCAGGGGTTCTGCTGGTAATGACTCTGTGCATGCTGTGCATGTTCAGGAGCAGCAACCTGTCTATGCTATGCACTTATCTGAAAATACATCACATAAATCTATGATTATGTGCAATAAAGTGGATGAAATTGGAAACAATTTTGGGTATACTGGTCATAATCAATTTAGACAGGGTGATTTTAGTATCTACAAGGGTAAAGGACTTATCCAAAGCAATATTAAAAAGAGCTTAAATACTGGGAATTCTTTTGCTCAACTCACAAACCTGGAGACAGATCCCTCTACTTTTGATGGGCGGGGGGTGTTATAAACATATGAATTGGTCCTTTTGGAATGTTAGAGGATTGAATAAATCCTCTAAACAGCACTTGGTCAAGCACTATTTGCAACATTACCATCTATCTTTCCTAGCTCTACTTGAGACCAAAATTAAGGCTGAAAATATCTCTGCTGTAGCAAAGAGGATTTCTGGCAACTGGAAATGGTGTTCCAATGCAAGCAGTACCAGTAAAGCAAGGATAATTTTACTACGGGATCCAAATATTCTGGAGGTTCTCACTGATAGCATATCAGACCAGCAGACCACCTGCAAAATTAAATCTTTGGATGGGAGAATTGACTGTGTTATATCCTCCATATATGGTCACAATCAAGTGGATAAAAGAAGAGAATTATGGTTGGATCTCACTCATATTTGTCAGACAGTTGGTAACACACCATGGTTATTGAGTGGAGATTTTAATGCAATAATTGGAAATGAGGAAGAGGGGCTAATCTTTCAGAAGCTGATACCAGTGAATTCAGAGACTTCATTGATCTTTGTCACCTCTCTCACCTTAAAACTGAAGGTTGCTTCTATACATGGAACAATAAACAAGATTCTCACTCTAGGATTTGGAGTAGACTAGACAGAGCCCTCATTAATGATGTTTGGTTACATAAATATAACTCAAGTCATGTGGAATATCTGCTGCAAAACTTCTCAGATCACTCCCCTGGATTAGTGTCTATATATGATGAGTGTGTTAAAGGGAAAAAACCTTTTAAATTCTTTAAGATGTGGGCTAAGCACTCAGAATTTGTGCCTACTGTATCAAGAATCTGGCAAACAAAAATTAGGGGATATGCTATGTACTCAGTCTATACCAAATTGAAGCTGCTGAAGAATGAGCTGAAAGATTTAAATAAAAGGTACTATAGTAACATCAGTGAGCAAGTACTTAGAGCTAAAGCAGCTCTTGATGATGCTCAAATGAATCTTCACTCTGACCCCCTGAATTAAGCACTTATGGAGCAGGAAAAAAATTGTATTACCTCATACAACAATTTGCTGGACTGTGAGCTTTCATTCTATCAACAAAAGGCTAGGATTTTGTGGAGTGTTCAAGGTGACAGATGCACTAGCTACTTCCATTCTGTAATCAAATCAAAAAGAGATCAGAATAGGATTCTGATGCTATATAACAGTGCAGGAGAAAAATTATCTGATGAAGAGAAAATTACATCTGAATTTATAACTTTCTATAAGAATCTTATGGGTACAAGCTCAGTCACTGCTCTTGTTGACAGAAATGTAATTAAAAAGGGCCCTTGTTTGAGTGAAGCTCAAGCTAGAATCCTATCAAATCCTTGTTGACAGAAATGTAATTAAAAAGGGCCCTTGTTTGAGTGAAGCTCAAGCTAGAATCCTATCAAATCCAGTAAACAGTGAGGAGATTAAGGAAGCTGTTTTTTCTATGTCTGATATTAAAGCCCCAGGACCAGATGGTTATGGTATATCCTTCTACAAATCAGCTTGGGGGATTGTTGGAGATGAAATCACACTGGCAATTAAGGATTTCTTCAAAACTGGGAAGCTTTTAGGGGAAATCAATTCCACAGCTATCACTTTGATACCAAAGGTGCAATGTCCCAGAAATCCATCTGATTTCAGACCTATAGCTTGCTGCAACTGTTTATATAAAATCATCTCAAAAATCCTAGCTAATAGGATCAGGTCAGTGATTGGTTCTCTAGTTAATGAAGCCCAGAATGCTTTTGTTAAGGGAAGACAGATATCAAGCAATATTCTATTAGCTCATGAGCTTGCAAAGAACTATAACAGGAAGCACATATCTCCAAGAGCCATGCTTAATATAGACATCAAAAAGGCTTTTGACACCATTAACTGGGGTTTTCTCAAAGAGATGCTTATTGGTTTGGGTTTTCCAGATGCATACATAGGATGGATTATGGCTTGTATTACATCCCCTAAGTATTCTATTGCTTTTAATGGTGCATTGCATGGTTATTTCAAAGGTGAAAGGGGTCTTAGGCAAGGTGATCCTCTCTCTCCCTACCTCTTTATCCTTGCATGGTTATTTCAAAGGTGAAAGGGGTCTTAGGCAAGGTGATCCTCTCTCTCCCTACCTCTTTATCCTGGGCATGGAATATCTCTCAAGAAGATTGGAGTTGTTAAAAGAGGACAGGAACTTTAATTTTCATCCCAAATGCAGGAAATTCCAAATTACCCACTTAATATTTGCTGATGACCTTCTCCTTTTTTCTAAAGGGGACTTATATTCAGTGAATAGGCTCTATCAATGCTTCAGTGATTTTTGTGCAGTCTCAGGTCTCAGTGCTAATTTAAACAAATGCTCAATCTTTTATGGAGGGATTGATGATTCAGTAAAAGCTTCCATCTTCAACAGTTTGGGATTTTCTGAGGGGACAATGCCTATTAGATACCTTGGTGTTCCTCTCATTTGCAAAAGGCTATCATATACAGATTGTGCACCTCGTTTAAACAGAATACCAGATCAATTTCAATCTTGCAGTCATAGGAAACTGTCATATGCAGGGAGGTTGCAAATTATCAAGAGCTCTATCTTAGGGATCCAAGTATTCTGGACCTCTAACTACATCTTGCCTGCAAGAGTGCTTAAAAAAGTTGATGAATTGTGCAGGAATTTTCTGTGGGGAAAATATGATCAATCTGTTAAAGTTTTCCCTTTGGTTGCATGGGAGAGAGTTTGTTTGGACAAGAAAAAAGGTGGATTAGGGATTTTCTCTGCCACTATCTGGAACCTAGCCTCTGCTGTGAAGCTCCTTTGGCATTTGCACACTAACAAAGAATCCTTATGGATTAAATGAGTGAATGGGACATATCTAAAAAATTTCAATGTTTGGCAGGTTCAAGCTAAAAGGGGTGACTCATGGATGTGCAAACAATTGTTGAAAGCTAGAGATAAAGCTGTGGAACTGAGTGGTAGCATTGACAACCTGAAACATATAATAAATTCCAGTTCTAACAGTTCAAAAATTAAAATTGCTGAAATATATAGAGCTCTCTCCCCTGCAGCAAATCTTGTTCCATGGTATAACTTGGTCTGGGGAAATTTATCCTATCCAAAGCACTCTTTTATCTGTTGGCTTGCGGTAAACAACAAATTACAAACTCAGGACAGGTTACTAAGGAAAGGAATTGTGAATGCAAATCAATGTAAGATGTGCGCTGGTGCATGTTTAGAGAGCCGTGATCATCTATTTTTTGAGTGCTCCTTCTCCAAGGAAGTATGGTATCAAATCATGGATTGGCTTCAATTCAAATGGAGATCATGCTCTTGGAATTCCCTCTTGAATTGGTATTGTACAAAGCTAATAAAGAAAGGCATTAAGCAAAATATCAAGAGATCTGCTATGTCAGCTACTATTTACCATCTATGGTGTGAACGCAACAGGAGGATTTTCCAGCTGAAGATTCAATCTGGGGAGAGTTTGGTTAAGAGAATCAAAGTTGATATCCTAACTATATGCCTAAACTCTCCAAACATTGCTGGGGATATGGCAGATTGGATCAGGTCTTTATAATTTGCTCTGTTATAGTATCCTGTGCTCATGACTAGTTGTGGTACAGTTGTTTTGGGGGTACTGCTGGTATTCTTGAAAGCCTGGTCCAAATTTGGTGAAGGATCCACAAAGAGTAGTAGATACTGCTATTGGGATGCTGGACAGAGTGATAAATTGAAGCTGTGCACAGTTTTTGTATACAGTCTTTGTTATCTGTTTTTTTTCTCATTTTTGTTGTTATAGCTAGGTCTTGATCTCTAGCTATAGGTTGTTTTGATTTGTTATCTCAATTACATATTCATGTTCTTGAGATTCTTGATGTACAAAATTTTTACATATTGGTGATGAATAAAATTTTTCATTTACCAAAAAAAAAAATTAAATAAATACTAGATGAGTGATTCATTTGAGTACACTGAGGATGGAACTTGAGCTCCTTTTCATAATGTAATTAATTACTCAGCCTTCTTGAAAGAAAATTTCATGTGAAGAGAATAAAGAGATAAGGGGATGAAGGGTATGTCCCTTGTGTCAACCCCCCGTTCCAGAAAAACATCCGTGAAAACCACTATTAATTGAAGAAGATAGAATACTATAATTAGAAGAAGACACCCAAGTCATTCATAACCCATTTCAACATTTTTTTTAGGAAAATCCAAATACCTTAGCATACAATTACTGAACCTGCAATCCAAAGGTATCATATGCTCTTCTATATCAATATTTTCCATAAACCAAGAAGAAATATCCATTACCAAGGTTGGGGAATCATGACAATGGAAGAGAGTGGTTAAACTTGAGACTCTCTAATTAGTAACTTTGGAGATAATGAAAACATCAAAAAGTTAACCTGCGGAGTTGTTGCATTGATGGTGGCAAAGTTAAAATTTTAAAAGTTTACAAGCTCATGTATACTATTGGCTTAGGTTCTTTGGTCTGCTATAATCCGGAATCCACTTAGCGTGCCAAAACAGTCTATCATAGAATGGTTGGCAGCTAGAAGAAGGCTATGGGCTCAAGATAGAATGGTGAGAATAGGGTTCTTAATTATCTTATGTTAGTAATTTGGGGAGTCCGTTCAATCAAGATGGTGGATGCTAAGTGGGCTCAAGCAGGTCCTATAGTGAATCGGTTCCTAATCCTAAAGGATTAGGGTTTTGTCCTCTACTCTATATATACACTACTACAAAAGCTTTCTATAATAATAGTTAATCAATTAAACTGTCACTATTAGGACTTATTGGTACGGTTATTATAAAACATGTCCTTTTCTTTCTATTTGAAATAGTTGCCCATTGAATCTCAGCTAAATTGAAAAAAGAAAATAGATATTTCTATTAAACTAAAGATAGGAAACTAAATTTCTAGGGGTAAAACAAAATAGGGAAACCAGTTATTAGGCAAGTGATAATTTCTATTTTGATTAATGGTTAGGATTTGCTGATGTGGCCTTTTTATTTTTTAATAAAAATAATCAAGTAGCAAAGGTTGGTATATTCGCAACAGGTGTAGATCGTTGCAAAGCTAATTGCAATGGCGTTGATAGTAACAGACTATTTACAACAGTTTTATGCTAATGTATATAGAAACGGTCCAAACCGTTGTTAATAGGCTTATAAGCAACTATTTGAACCATTGCTATAAAGGGCTTTTGTAGTAGTGATATATGCATAGATATGTAGAGATTAAATAGAGAGAGAAAAAGCATTATCATCATCTTAATTCTATGATTTAAACATTAGTCGTGGCAAGATATAGCGGGGCTTCTTGCAATATCGGGGTGGTTGCCCTTCGGCTATTGTTCGAAGATCAATATTAGATGTATGGTGATCCATCCTTCTAAGAAATCTGAGAAATGTAATTTCTAAACAAGAGTTTTATCTATTTATATATATAATTATGCAAGGTTTACATTGGTATCAGAGCAAGATTAAGACTGCTTGTGTCTTTGTGTTAGAACTTCGCTTGAGGAGAATGTTATTCATGCAATATCTCTTGTTTGATCAATAACAAACTCTCATTTGGTACAAATAAGTTTGTGAGATGATATATTTCAGGAATAAACAGGTGTAAAAAAATTACAACTCAAATGGATGCAAAAATCAATTCAAGCATTTGATTTCAGCCTTTAACCATTGATGGTCATGAGGCAACCATCGATGGTCCATAGGTCATCGATGGACTACAAGCGACAATCTGTATTTTCTAGAAGTGATAAATTAAGCCATTGATTGGCTACATTCGACTATCGATGATCCATTCAACCATTAATGGACTACATCAACAACCAATGAATTCCAGAATAAAGAATTTGAATCGATAGACTACAGGGAACCATTGATGATTACCATGAATAATCGATGATCACGTTTAACCATCGATAGTTTGGATGCGTTTTGACATATTTCCAAATTCAATCTCAGTCGTTTGATCACAAATTTGATCTCTTAATTCAACACTGATTAGAAGACTTCTTTCCAAGCTAATCAAGGTCTATTTAAGGAGGGATCAGAAAAGAGATTAAGAACAAGAAAGTGAGAGGAGATTTGCACAAGATTATGAGATCAAATTCTACGAATTGAGAGAGGTTGAGAGTACGAATTTAATTCTATGTTCCTTGTTCAACTGCTTCTCATCGCGCTCAACATCAAAAGATTGTTTTAGCGAGGAGAAGTGACGTCTACATTAAACTTTAACATTGCTTCTTCATGGATCATCATCGATATCGGTTGGGAGAATGATTTATTTTAAATAGGCTATAAGATTTTTTTTCAATTGTGCTTTAATTATATTTTATGGCTAGTTTTGTATTTTAAACTCATGAGTTTGAAGGCATACTCAAGCCGAGGTAATTGTGGGTTGGTATGCTCAAACTAGGTTAATTAAGTATGGCTAGTAAGGGCAATATTTCTTCTGATCATTATGAGGAGTGCAGTAATGTTGACTAGTTTCAGGGATATGTTCGGTCATAGTGAAGAAGGTCTTTCACGAGAAGGAAGGCTAGGCATAGGATTTTGATCATAACCACTATAAAAATCTCATGTGTTCCTGTATCGGTTGCTCTTAGTTTTTCATATTTTATTTTCTACTAATATTCTTTGTTTATTCAAAAAATTTGTAGCAATCCTATTCACCACCTCTAGGTTTACATCATTGTAGGCTGTCTAAAAATCACAATAGATAGTTGATTCCCCATCAAACGCGGATCATGGAAGTTACAATCTGACGATTTCCAAAAGGCTACAATTTGAAGACTTTCACGTAGATCGATGAAGGTTACAATCTGACGACCTTCATAAGAACTTATGAAAGCTCTAATCAACATCCTTCACAATCAACATCGAGAGTTACAATCTGACGACTCTCACATATCAAAGAGCTAAAGCAAAGATTACAAAACGACGATCTTTGCAACGCTCTGACAGAAAGAGACTACAAATCGACGGTCTCTTCAAACCAAGACGTGGAAGTCCTCCCTGCGTACCATCATCAAAATACAACACCAATTCGACTACGAACGTAGGTCAAACCTGGCTGCAGACGCACCTCACATTCGGCTTTAAACGCTGCAAACGCAGCTCAGATCAAGCTGTCAACGCAGCTCATGTTCGTCCGCAAACGTAGTCTCCGAAAGCTGCCAACACAGCTTCCATCCGCTGCCAAACGTAGCTTCCATCCGCTGCCAAACGCAGCTCTTAAATGCTGCTAAACTACCACCAACGCAGCTTCCAAATCGCTGCAAACACATCTCAGACGCAGCTTCCAAATCGCTACAAACGCAGCATCCAGACACTGCGTTCGAGCTTCCAGACGTTGCGTTCGAGCTTCCAGATACTGCGTTTGAACACAGGATTCACGTCAGAACACGGATTTTACATTTGACTCGTTCAAACACGAGCTGAACAGTTTCAAAACCGTTTCCCACGATTTGAGGGGATCACAACTCCACTTAGGAGCGGATTAAGGGGCGGTTATAACCCACTAGCCCCACAAAGGAGCGAATTAAGGGGGCGGTTACACCCCTTAATCCCCTATAAATAACTGAAAAATCAGTTTAGTTACGGGCTGGATTTTGGGGGGCTGGATCTTTCATCCTTCTTTTTGGCAGCAAAGAAGATATCTTGGGCTTTTAGATCCGGCTCTGGGGCAGCAAAGAAGAGATCATTGGCTTGTCTAACCAATTACGGTTAAGATCAATCAACTCATCAAGAGTTCTAAAACTTGCTTTGCAAGTTCTCCACAGCGTCAAATCGTGAGGAGGAGATACCGTTCCAGTGAATCAAGACGTGCGGATCGTCAACGAGAAGCAAACTCGACGTGAGCATTCGAGGGAGGCATCTCATCGCTACCGTGAAGAAGCCAGAATTAAACAAAGGGGATAATCAAATTCATTCTCTTCTCTTTTGTAATCAGGAAATCCAATTGTAACTGAGATTAAAGGAATACAAATCAATTTTCCTTCGTTTCTTTTACTGCAAATTTTCCCACAAACAAAAGATGGCGACTCTGCTGGGGAAGAGCTTTTCTGATGAAGAAGTGGTGGTGCAATCCGATGTTCATCTCACTGGAACAACCGTCAAAACTCTTATTGTTGAGTTTGATCAAGCTAAGTTTAAGGAGGCTCTCTCATCCAGATCCCTTAGCACCAAGGCTATGCGCAAGGTACACAAAGTCTTCAATGAGACTAAAGCTCCAACTGTTGCTCCTATGCCTAAGGAAGCCTTCTCCTTCAACCAAGAATGCTCGAACAGCCCCTCCTCCGAAGGAGTGGGCTCAGCTTCGGCCAAACTCGTCCACCGAGTTGAAGGCTCTGTGTTCGTGCCAAAGCGACGTTTCTCGGGTCACGAAAGGCCCATAACGGCGACCAACTCTGTCGACGACATCACTGCAAAGGCCTTAAAACAAGCCAACAAGAACGCCGCTCGACGAAGAAGAAGATCTCGACGACGAGCACAACTCCGAGAAAGTCGATCCTCCAACCAACGCGAGCTTCGCGTTCGTGAGCCTAAACGCAACCATGTGCTTTGCGTTTCTGCTTCAGAACGCCAGCCTCGTGTCTATGAGCCCAAACATTGGCTCTGTGTGAATAAGACTGAATGCAGCCCTTAGTGGTGCATTGTATAGTCAAAACATAGCCTTCAGGAGTGCGTTCCATTAACTGAACGCAACTCTCAGGCATGCATTTCAGAAACAAAAAGCAGATCTTAGGACTGCGTTTCACCAGCAAAACCTGGAGCTCAGGCGTGCGTTCGGGTAACGAA